TTTCAGTTCTTCCAAGGTGATACGATCAAAGCAGAGGTATTTACTCCTTTCCTGGCCTGTGCTCTGGTCGGTGAATGACCACAAGCACTCTTTTCTGCCTTGAAACTGTAAGGAGGATTCTCTCTGCACTACCTGCCACAAGCTGTGCCACACCAGCGTTCCTCCTCACCCCAGGATCGCCACCCGGGATTAAGATCCAGATCAAAGCACAGGCAAAGCAAGAGAATCCTGCCTCAGTGCCAGCAAAGAGATCCCTACGATCCCCCTCTGATCAGCTGCTTGATCCCCCCACCATCTGTAGGTCGAGAGCTTTGGAAGCAGCCAAGCCGGGGCTGGAGCCACACCATACTCCTCTCTCACCCAGCTCTGACAGACCTTTCCTACTGACCTTCTAAGTTGTCTTTGGCATTGGTGGATTGAGAAGTCTGGAAACTGCCACAGCTGCCTGTGATTCTGTCCCCTGAGGCCTGCTCCAGGTTTGCTGGGATCCCATCTTTGCCTGCATGGCCCATGCTGAACGGCACTCCTCTCCCAGCCTGATGAAACAGACCTTTCCCATCAACCATCCAGGTTGTCTTGGGCTGGAAACTTGTTTCACTGTCTTTTTGTGGGTTCTGAGCTCTAGAATTCATTTAGAATAATTTTTACAGGTATTTGGAAGGGTTTGGGGAAGAGCTCAAGACAAGTCACTACTTTTACACTCCACCGTGTTGGCTTCGCCCCCTCCACCCCACATTTTGGGAAGGTTTTTTTTTATTTATTTGTTTTCCCTCATGACATTAAGCCTAAATTAGCCTTTTTGCAATTTCCACTCTTTGTTTTTGGTTCATCCTCTGGGGACGAACAGAAAGTGCCAAATCCTTCATCAACAGCTTAAAGACAGCTATCACGCCTCTTGTCCTCTCTTTTGCATGCCCCAAAGCCCCATTTCCTTAAACTGATCCTCAATGGACACAAGGCCCTCATCATTTGGGTTGCACTCCTCTGGAGGGCAATATGAGGAATCAATAGATAGAGGGACGATCCTATCTCCCATCTATTACTTAATTTTTCAAGGCTTAACTCAAGTGCCACCTCCTTCATAAAACATTCACAATGCTTCCTTCTCCCTCAAATCCTCCATGAAAAGAAAACTCCCCCTCTTAAATTTCTTATAGCATTTTGCTGGGAAAGAGGGCAAAGGCTTATTATTATAATACTCTTTTTTGTAGCATAAATATATGTGTGTATACCTTCTCCCCACACCCGGACACCTGTTTGTAATATAGATCATCCTCAAGAACCAGACTGTGCTTGTTTTTATATCCCCAATGTTTAGCACGATACCTTTTCACGGAGTAGGTTCTTAGTAAATGTTCATTAAATTATGTGGAACAAAATTTTATAAAGGAATTTTAGTGATATGAATTGACAAGCAGATTCCAAACATTTTATACAGCTATTTAACCAGAATACTGAAATGCTCTTCAAGCTGAATCAATTTGAAATTACATGTGGTTACAATCCATGGAAAATATAAAAGTGTGAACCACTTTCAAAACCAGCAACAGATTGGGCAAGATGTACTTGATTATTTTATTGTATTTGTTATACAGCACTTTGTAGATAGCATCTCTCTTAATGCCTCACAACCTAGGTTTTAGGTTTGCTGCTTTCTTGTTTTTACTTTCAGGCTGTTTGTGATAAGAAAGGAAAGCAAACAATATGCAAATGACTTCATGTCCCAGATTTAATGTTCAAAGGAAAAAAAAACTCATAAGTTTACATCTTTGCACTTTAATAACAAGTAAAAATACTGAGTCAATTTCATTGTTTTGCAAGTTGCTATTATCTATTTCCAGGTGTTATATCTTCCCATTCCAACCTTCCTTCCATTAAGAAGCTTTTGTATGTGTGTATGTGTGCCTGCATTTGAGAGAAAGAAGTGTGGTATTACATAAAGGCTGTAAGTGTCAAAGAAAATGGAAGATGAACAAATGAGATGTTGTATTTTAGCTCTTTATGAGCTAAAAGAAAAGCTAATGTTAATTTTAAGATTAGCTGGGGAGGTCTCTTAGCTGGAGAGGAAATGTGGAAAAAATGTAAAAAGGAGACATCTAGGATTCAAACGTAAGTATTTAGAAATAAGGACAAGAAGTATTTTATAGCAAAATGAAGATATCAATTTGCAATATCCAAATAAAAAGAAATGTTAAATTCAGTCTTTAAGTATTTGAACAGACCATGATGCAGTAGATTAGAGCACTGCATGTGAAAAGGAACATATTTATGAGAAACTGAAAGAGTTCAAATCTGATCAAATAATTATTTACTAAGAGGGTATCCAATGGTGTTCCAGGAAGGACGGATAAAAATTTAGTCTGCATAGCCCACACTTTCCTTGGATCTTGCATTCTGATGGGGGACATGACACAGACACAGTGACTATTTATAGTTTCAAGTTAGATGCATCATAGTTACAAAACAAAGGGTTTTGTGAAGTCAGAGGGTTAGGGAGGAGGGCGGAGCTGTTACCTGAAGGAAGGTTGCGGTGAGGGAGATGGAGGAGAAAGGAAAAGAGTGGCAATACTGTATAGCAGAAAGAACCCTAGCCTTGAAGTTGGAGGAGCTGGGTTTGAATCTTATATCTGTTTCTTTACTAGCGTGACCTTGGGCAAGTGACTTAGCTTCTCTGGACCTCACTCTCTTCATCTGCAAAGTGAGTTGAATGAAAGAGCTCCAAGATTCTTTCTGGTTCCAGGTCTTATAGACAGGGAATATTTGTAAAATCTAAAAAGTGAACATATACACATTTATAGATTTAAGTATAACTAATGGCATGTAGGAAGAAAGAACTTTTTGCAGATTAGGTGAGGGGCAGTATAGGATAAATATTAATCATGTGAAACTATATAGAATTTTGTGGTTATTCAGTCATTTCAGTCGTGTTCTACTCTTCATGATTCCATTTGGGGTGTTCTTGGCAAAGATACTAGAGTGGTTTGCCATTTCCTTCTCCAGCTCATTTTACAGATGATGAAACTAAGGCAAACAGGGTTAAGTGACATGCCCAGGGACACATAGCTAGTAAGTGTCTGAGGCTGGATTTGAACTCAGGAAGATGAGTCTTCCTGACTCCTGGCCCAGCGCTCTAGGCACTCTAGCATCATCTAGCTGTCTCATGGTAGTTAGAATACAGATCTAGAATTTCTCCTCCTATAATACAGTATTGTTTTTTCCTATGCTTCACCCACTGTATCAGATTATCTCATCATTTGCTCTCATTTCAATTTTTATAAGGAACTCTTCAAACTTGTTACCTAAAACATTTCCTGTAGGAATCTTCTTCGTTGACAACACACAGTTGGAAATGTTCTGTATGACCTCATTTCTTCTCTTCTCCCTCCTGCACTGCTTTCCCATAGACACCTACCCTCACTGTGCAAATGCAGATATCTTCATACCCCATTATTGTCCCTCGAGGTAAAGTATACAAAACTCTGACCTGGCCTTCTGACCTGGCAACTTCAGCCTTGACTTTCTGGGGGAAAAGATGCAATGAAGATCCAAGAGGGCAGTTCAAACACATCAGTGGGACAACTTTAGATTAGATGGAGATCTAAAGGCGACTAAGAGATGATGGGACTATTTCTGCACATAGCTTTCTGAAACAGCCTGCAAATTAACAACGTGACACTAACTTGTCAGAGAGGTACCAGGCACAGATTCACACCTAAGTCAGGGCTTTTTTTATTCTCAAGCTTTTGCTGAAGGGTAATTCTGCAGGTTATCTCGCAGTGGTTGCCTCATAAACTCACAGGACTTGGTCAGTTTCTTCCTACTCAATACACAGATGTCTAAGAGGGAGGCCCAACAACACCCAGACAACCTATTTCCCTCATTTGAAGGATTGGGGAAGGGCAGTAGTACCAGGAGAGAAAAAAAACAGCCCTAAGTGGGTCTGGTGATACTCTGTATAGTTCTGTTGTTGTTAAACGTAGAAGGTAATACAAATTAGTAAGTGTGGAGTTCAGAGGTCCACAGGAAGGGGAGAATATAATCATACTTGCAATACAATTATAGTTTTTTTCCAATTCTTTTTAACGTCACTCCTTGAAACAAATCCCTTTAAACTGGAGAAAAAGACAATAAAAAGACAACCGTCAACACTTCCTTCAGTTAAAGCTTCAAACTGGCTAGATTCCACTTTGTTTTTATTAATGCACTTATTTCAATGATATATTTCTATTTTCCATGTAAGACTTTCAGTCTAGAATTCAGAGGCAGAGAGATTTCAGTGAAATCCAAATTCATGGAAGAAAATATATTCTGCTTCCCCAGGGAATGACCTTTATTTCCCCCAGCAAGAGGTTTTTGATCGGAATTCTTCAATCTCCTTCTCTAATTCTGTGCATCTTGATTTAACTTTTTGCATCAACATCATCTGCTTCTTGGCAAACTTGATGAGATCTTCCCTGGGTAATGTTTCCAACTTAGATTTGCCACCCCAAGTGTGGCTGGTGAGGCCTCCACATCTTGCCTGGGATCTTCCATGTCCAGGCCAGCATCACACAGCCCCACACACAAGCACACCCCCACTTCAGCCCAGACTAGCTGGTTGCAGTTGCTGCTGCCGCCACCGCCACAGTCGCTTCTGATGACCTTTATCTTTTTAATAAAGTTATATCTAGTTTTTAAAAGTGGCTCAACTTCAATTAAGATGTTACCTAACTTTCTGTAACCCGCTTCTGCTTATTAGTGACATTATTTCTTTTTACACGTAGCTTTTTATCTTCTGTAATATATATACATGGATTTCATTCTCTTAACACAATTTTCTGTAAACACCAGTTTTTTTCATAATGTTCTTCATTTCTAGCCTAGTTTTTCTATTTCCTCTTTATTAATTCTAGTGCCTATTCTCATGTTTTGTTTTTTTACACCAAAGGTATAATAGGGTCTGTATAATCACACTTTGACCTGATAAACATTTAAACAGTACTTTAGAGACAATTTCTTACCTGAACAAAGCTGTTCCACTTTTGTGTAGTTTAAAGATACTATGTCATTCACCCATGCAATGATGTCATGTCTGCTCATAGTCTCTTGGGTTATCGAGGTAGAATACACATTGACCGCCATTCCCCAACTGGAAAAAAAGATATGTTTACTTTAAAATTAATAATTATAATAGAATTCTACAAATAAACCATACTGAAATTGGAGCAGTCTTTCAGACAACTGTTGCTTATAACTACCCTGATGTAAGTGACACAAAAATTTAAAATTTAAGCTTTTTTAAAAAATAGCTGTCAACATATCTTATACTAGCAATCTCCAAACTATATGGAATGAAAAGCTTTCAAAATATAGTTGCCTTAGGGAAGACATCGACATTATGTGGGAAAGGACTGAGACATAAATCATTCCTGTTGTCAAGTATTCTATTGGAGTTTTCCCAAAGATGCTTTTGAGAAGAAGAGTTTACATTCCATTAACTGTATTCAATTACAAAAAATCAATTATTTTATCCATCTACACAACAACAAACACAACTTGATTGACAACTTAGTTGCTCTCAAACCATTTCTATCTGAAGCCCATCTAAAAAGATGAATAGAAGAAGATAACAGTGATAATAATAACCATGAAGCCTATGAAAAGATAAAGTCCAAGAAAGGAAAGACCAGGCCCTCCCACCCTTCATGAGTAATGCCTGTATGAATTTTACCAATAATATGTCAAATATGTCAACAAAGAAGCATCAAAAAGATCTGAGTCATCAGGATTTTTTCATTAAAAACAGAGTAATTTATCAGGGATACAAGCTCAAGTAATTGCTACCAGAAGTGAGAAAAAGGTCATCCTTAAAAAGCCTAGATTAACTGATCAATGAAGATTTTGCACGCAAATGGTATATGCAACATATTACTATAGGTTGTATGTAGCACATGCTGAATACCTAAAAAGACAGTATGAAGTGGGCCAGAATTTTATACCAGAAGCTTGATATCCTTCTTAAATTAAGAGATAACAAATTCCCAAACTAATAGACCCCTAAATATCCTTGAGAATTCAATAAGTAAATCTGTTCTGTAATGATACTTCAATTCCAGACATACTACCTATAAAATCTCATAAAACCCTTTTTTGATGGTGCTACCATTGTGAATACTCAACCTCCAAATGATATTGTCCTTTCATGCATTTTTAAAGACCAGGTTCATTGCCACTCATCTAATTTCTTATGGTATCAGAATGTTCTTTTAAGTCTTGTGTAATAATAATATAATAATAACAAGACAACAATAATAAGTATAAGAATAACAATAACATAATAAACAAAATATTTACATGGGACTTGAAGGGTCCATGAAGTATAGTAACCTTCCATTTCTAAATGGTTATGTCAGACTAACTAATCTGACTAATTAATGGAATTTTGACATTATCAAATCTACAACTATGTTGATAATATCTTGAATTTCTAGTAAAGTCTGTAGGACTTTACAATTTATAAATTTATTTCCCCATGTATTTATCATATCATTTGATCTTTATAACCATGGAAATGGGACCCATGGTAGGAGAAGCCTGGAAACAGAGGGATAGGAAACCTAGTTGCTCTGATCCTACAAGCAGAGCTCCATGAGGTACAGGGATGGCAAGCAGGAGGGCTAGGAATGATACCACCTCTATAGATGCTGGAACCCTGGAAAATCCCTAAGCAGCAGCTAAATGGCACAGTAGATAGGCCTGGAGTCAGGAGGACTCATCTTCCTGAGTTCAAATCTGGTCTCAGATACTTAACTTTTGTTATTGTTATTATAATTACTCATTCACTCACCTATTCACTCTTCCTTTGATCATTAACCAAGAAATGAAAATCTATAAAATAAACCAGACTCATGTTTTAAATGGTTATAAAGTTAATTCCAAATTACCTGAGGAGGAAAACAAGTCTGTAGTAATCAACAATGAAAAATGAATGTTAATTAAGTCCCATAGGCACTCAGTGCAAATAGATTGTAAGGAAGTATAAGCACCCAAAACCCCCAAGTAAATAGTAGTTATAGCATATGTTTTGTGTCGGTAATCCCCCTTGTAAACTTCAACAAAGATTTCTTATTAGTGCTGGGGATTTGAAGTGAACAAAAGCTTAACTAAATCTTGTGCTGGAGGCGAGTACCACAAAATGTGCCCCGGCAAGTAGCACCCTCAAATCAACTTTTTAAAGATGAACTGAATTAGGAACGGGGGAAGAAACCTTGAATGTTGGGACACCACTCCATTGGGATGGGGGTGGGGTACAGAGACCTTTGGGCATTGGAGATTCTGGAACATCAGAAGGTCAATACTGAGGGACAGAGCAAAGAAGACCCAGGTTTGTGGACAAAACTAGCCCGTATTGGGGATCCTAGAGGAAGGAGCAGTGCCATATAATAGCTTCCTGTTTTAATTAATTAATCTGGCTAATTAGGCAGTATGCCTAACTGTATGCACTGGCTTGGTTAAAAGCATCCTCTAAATTTTAGTCCTCTGGAACAAAGCCTCAGCTATTTAGTTCTAGTTGAAGCCCTAGAAATGAAACAAAGCAAAAAAAACAAACAAACTATATAGCTGAATGAAAGTTTACATTTAATATTATAAGAAACTGCTCTTCATTAGTAATTCTTTATTTGTTTTTCATTCAGCCAAGATTAAAAAAAAGGGATTGTAATAAATAGTTCAAGAATGAAGTTATAAATGGGAGTATAGTTGGTAGAAAAGAAAATGGGTCAATAAAACATGGGGATGATGTTAATTAGTGATTGTTTGCTTACCCTGCTATTTCCTAAGACAAACTCACTAAGAGTCTTGGAAATATATGTCTCCATCTCTCAATAAGTTCACTAGAACCTGGCTCTCTCACACATATATTTTCACACTTGAGACAACATTTTCCCACTTTTCTGTTCTATGTGATTTATTCTCTAGGTTCAATGCTGAGGGATGTAATATGGGGATTACTCTCACCTTTACCCTCTTCCTCCAGTTTTGCCTTTTTGGCTGTCCTGGGAATATATTATGATTTTATGCCATTGTTTGAAAAAGAAAATAGTACAAGAAACAAGATTCACATTAAAGAGGAAAATAGTCAAAGCTATTTTAAAAGCATGTCTTGATATATCAAGAGAATGTTCAAATTTTTTGAGATAACTACTGATTTTTTTCCCTTTTGATTATTTTTGATTCTTAGATGGCTGGGTCTGGTTAATAATTTATTTTCACATCAGCTTTTAGCTCTTTGGGCACTCAATTTTTCTTTAATAAATGTTATGTAACTCAGAATGGAAATATAATTTTTAGACTTTGAAGAATTTTTTTGGGAAGGAATAAAAATACATGCCAGCAAATAAATAATATAAAATTCCAAACATAGGTATCCATCACATCATGAGAAAGCTTTACCATGTATATAATATATGTGTGATACATATGTGTGATAAAACTATGGGGTCACAGTTAATAATGAATTAAAACAAGAAAACTGACTAAAATGTTCTTTGGTTAATGACAACATCCATCTAGGTGAACTCATTTATTTGATTTTATTTTTACCATTTAATAAGAATCCAAGATAAAGGACTAAGATTCTTGCATGTGGTTTGTTTTTATTTTTAATCAAAATATTTTAAAACTGTATGGTCAGGATGCAAATTTTGGTTCGATCATTGTATGGGACAATTAGTTTTCTTTTATTGCCTAACCACAACTCATATTTCTATATTTGCCCAGTCATCTCATAAACTATAGGTTGTTGGCTACAAGGCAAATTTGTGGATGGCTCAGTACAATTCATTACAACTACCATAAAAACAACCTCAATCACGTGACCTCATGATTGTGGATTAGCAGCAGCATCTTCATGTCTAAAAAACAAAATACTATTTTTTCCTTTCACATTTCTGAAATGATTCTTTCATGTGGAAGGTAGATCAGTTCAACGTGGAATGTTAACCCAAATTGTCTTGAGATTGAGGTTACTGTTATACAATGAGGCTTTTTTTGAATTTCAGATCTTATACATATTTATCTAAAATTATCTATAAGCAAAATTACCACGAGATCAGTTTAGGGCAATTATTACTATATCATCTAGCATAGAGAACACTAGGATTTTCTTTTTGACAAATGTCCTATAATTCAAAACAAGATACTATTTTTAGTTTTTGAAGAATATTTTTGGAAAGGAGGAAATACGTGCTATCAAATAAATCCTACAAGAAGCCAAACATGGACATACAACTAATAATATATTAGGAGGCACTGGTTTAGTTCTAGCTTTTCCCCAGGGGATCACTGTGAATTCTATTTTTAAAATCTCTTTGACTTTAAAATGTAAGGTACATATTATTCCTACTTCACAGGGGGCTCTGTGGAAGAAATTACATATAACATTCAAGACACTTATTATTTTTATTTATTGAAGAATTTCAAAGAATTCTTTTCTGCTGAGAAAAAGAACTTGCTACTAGAAGGCTACGAATGGTGACTGCAGAAGGAAAGCTGACAACACACACATTTCATGGCATATATCCTTATTTTTGGATCTGTGACCATGCCTTTAACACTGTGAACCATCTAGCATCTGGGATGTAAGCATTTCTCCCCTGTGACACCCTCGCAAAGACAGGAAAAGAAAGTGCTGCATTCTTATTTTGTGACATTTTGTTAACACTTTTAAGGGCAATTGTGACACGACAGATGGAGGGCTGGTCTAGCTGCGTGACTATCAGCAAGTTAGTTAATTTCTTGGTGCCCCCAGGATGCTTGATTTAGAGTTAAAAAACATGGGTTCAAATCTGGATCTGCCACTTGCTGTTCCACTTACTACCTGGAAATATCATTCACTTACATGGTTTCAACTACCACTTCCAGTCAGATGACTCTCAAGTCCATTCTGCATCCCTTTCTCCAAAAGCTGTTAGAAAAAAAATTAAGTAGCGCAGTGGATACAGCACTGACCCTGGATTTGGGAGGACCTGAGTTCAAATCCAACCTGAGACACATAACACTTACTAGCTGTGTGACCCTGGGCAAGTCACTTAACCCCATTGCCTAGTCAAAAAAAAAAGCCACTTACGCTAGGTGTAGTCTATGAAGTTT